TCTAGGTAAACTCCAAGCGAAAGTTCATCATTGGCGACCGGGTCTGAGGTACTCAAGCGTGTACATGTGGAATACAAGGGGAGACTACCAAATTAAAGTTCTAAGTAGACTCCAAATGAAAGTTCATCATCGGCGACCGGGTCGCCTATTGGCTGGTAGGTAGAAGACATCATCGCCGGTCAACACTGCAGGAGTCCTTTTCAAGCTATTTTGTCTGGCGCGCATATACCTAGTCACAATTATAACCTAAAGCTCCCCCTTCAGGGAAGCTGGTTGAACGTGACGATTTTTTCCCCAGCAAAGCACCTGCCTAACGGTATTCGAATATGAATCTCGGCCTAGAAACAGAGAGGTTCGGACGTGTTGTGAAGAGAGGGGGATGTTCTGTAAAGAACCTGCTCGATGATGATGAAGGATTAGGATATTATGTATCGACACGTTATGTAGTATACTGACTTTTGTAATCTGCGAGGGGGCTTCGTGGTCTCGAGGCATGGTGTCCGCCTCAGGTTCTAGAGGTTCTGGGTTCACTCCCCGGTAATGGCTGGGATTTTGTCACTTAGACTTCTGGTCTGTCTCCATGGTCTCTATCTATCTATCTGTCTGTCTGTCTGTCTGTCTGTCTGTCTGTCTGTCTGTCTGCTATCCATCTGTCTGCTATCCATCTGTCTATCTATCCATCTGTCTGTCTGTCTGACTATCTGTCTGTCTATCTGTCTGCCTGCCTACCTGTCTGTCTGACTAACTGTCTTTCTGTCAGTCTGTCTGTCTGTCCATCTATCTATATATCTGTCTATCCATCCATAAATCTCTGTCTACCTATTTGTCTGTCTAAAAATCTGCCTTTCTGTATACACATATATTTCTGCCTCTCTGTTAATAAAACCTTCTTCCAAGACAACCGCCTACCGTCCGTCCGTTCTTCCTTTCAGTCTGTCTGCCTGTCGATAGGTCCGTCAGCCCACCCGCCATACACCTTCCACCCTCTAACTAACCCTACCCCCTCATCTCCTACAAGACAACCAGTACCAACCCAGCTCACCCCCCCCCCCTCCCAACCCCTTCCCCACTTCCGACCGCACACCCCCACCTACTGCTCCAGTCCTTTATGTCTCTGTACCTGCTCACCTTCCATTCTGAAAGTAAGGATTCTATTTACTCCCTCTTGTCGCATTCATAAAGCCATTACTCGTCTCCTCGCTCCCTGCTGCTAATTTGCCTGTTTGCACGGGCTGTTAACGCTAAATGAGAGGTAAACGAAGTAGCACAGGCAAGCAGCCAAATTCGCAGAAGCAAAGCCAAAAAAAGGAAAACAGAAAAACATACACACGCAAGAAAAGACTGGCAGAAAAAGTATGGAAGCAAAATAGAGCGGGAAATCATATCGGGTCTTAGTGACAACGATCCGAGGAAAGAAAAAAAAAACGAAGATGGCGGTCGGCAAATTTCCTCCATATCGTTACATCAGATTTCTTTCGGACGGTTTTTCTGGTCCCTGGATGGTAAAATATTAGGCCTCACACATTGATTAACTCTTCGTATATGTTGAGTGATTTGTAGCGGTTTCCTGGAGTGTACGGCATAAATACAAGATATGGTTCAGCCAAGACCTTCCCAGTATGGGCCAAGGGGCGCCTACGGTCAGCTGTTTACGTGGGCTAGCAAATGTGTAGTTTTTCGAAGTGAAATGATATGGGGGCCTGCGATTTTTATGTGTATCGATACCTCGCTTTCTGATTACATTTCCGAAATAAGCTGTTGTGAATTTTTATGTTATTAACCATACTGCGAATTATTATGTACCTGGGTGAAGGTCGAATTATCATTCTTCTAGTGGATATGTAAGTGTGCTTAAATTTCCTTCGGATGCTCAGTTAGGAGAAGAGAAAGATGGCTGAAATTTATTACATGGGAAAAGTGGACACCTGGAAAAACCACTGTGTGGACATGAAGAATATTAGAGACGGCCTTGGTACAGCGGTATTGCTTTTAATTTTAAATCTGGTAATCTGGTAGTTTCAGCTTCATAGCAAACGGGTCACCCCATAGTTGCTCCGCTCCTGTGCCAACGAAAAACACACGTAGCTCACAGTGTCACGCCATGCACTCAACTCAGAATCTGGGCGACGAAACTATATCTTTCCAGTCTACAAATGGAGCAGAAATGCAACGGCCACCGTCTGGCGGGGGGAAAAAAGGTGGCCGTGCCTAGCGTCCATTTTGACCTGAAGCATAAATATAGTGATACCTGGACATACCAACCCCGCCAAGTGACTGTCAGTATTTAATCACTTTAGTGGAAAGAATTTAGTTTTTGTGTGTGCTTCACTATATTTTGATTTAACTCTGTAGTAATGCACGAGATACATTGAAATATGCCAGACAATAAATTGTGCAATGTATTGTCTGTTTTCACATTATTTGAAGCTTAGAGTTTTCACTTTGCTTCGCTAGAGAAAACGAGGTTAATACTTAAATTATAGACAAAACTAATTAATCAAGAAGAAAAAGACGAAGTAGTAGTAGCTGCTGCAGCACTAATAGCAGCAGCCGCAGTAGTAGTTGTTGTTAGTGTTGTCGTTTGTCGTAGAAAGAGGGGAAGGTGTTTTTTTTTTTTTTTTTTTTTTTAAAGCAGAGATAACAAGAAGATAAAGAACAGGATGAAGAACAATAGAAGAAGAAGAAGAAGAAGAAGAAGAAGAAGAAGAAGAAGAAGAAGAAGAAGAAGAAGAAGAAGAAGAAGAAGAAGAAGAAGAAGAAGAAGAAGAAGAAGAAGAAGAAGAAGAAGAAAAAGAAGAAGAAGAAGAAGAAGAAGAAGAAGAAGAAGAAGAAGAAGAAAGAGGAAGAAGAAGAAGAAGAAGAAGAAGAAGAAGAAGAAGAAGAAGAAGAAGAAGAAGAAGAAGAAGAAGAAGAAAAAGAAAAACAACAAGAAAAAAGAAGAAGTAGAAGAAGAAGAAGAAGAAGAAAAACAACAACAAGAAAAAAGAAGAGAAGAAGAAAAAGAAGAAGAAGAAGAAGAAGAAGAAGAAGAAGAAGAAGAAGAAGAAGAAGAAGAAAAGAAGAAGAAGAAAGAAGAAGAAAAGAAGAAAAAGAAGAAGAAGAAGAAGAAGAAGAAGAAGAAGAAGAAGAAGAAGAAGAAGAAGAAGAAGAAGAAGAAGAAGAAGAAGAAGAAGAAGAAGAAGAAAAAGAAGAAGAAGAAGAAGAAGAAGACGAAGAAAAAGAAACACAACAAGAAGAAGAAGAAGAAGAAGAAGAAGAAGAAGAAGAAGAAGAAGAAGAAGAAGAAGAAGAAGAAGAAGAAGAAGAAGAAGAAGAAGAAGAAGATGATGATGATGAAGAAGTAGAAGTAGAAGAGAAAGGAAGGAAAGAACGAATAAAAAGACGCCATGACACTCCTCCAAAACTTGATAATAATAAGAAGCGGCTCTGTGACATATATGTTGGTGATTACATTTCACAATTTTACAATTCCCAAATAGACCAGTGTTATTTAGCAGCAGAAGGCTTATAAAATAAAAACTACTATTTTTCTAGCATGCTGACAGTTGTATGAGAGTCCTGTCGTGGAAGAGATGATGGCGTCAGCGCGTAAGATTTTTGAAATCACCTCTTATCATGGGACCACCAGTGGTCGTCAGACTAGCCGGTTATATATTTCTGTGCCCGGCTTGTTAGCGTAGTTGGTTAAACCTGACTTCGCGGCGACCAGGTGACGAACTCCTTTTGGTTCGGGTTCACGCCCCGGGGTAAGCAGAAAAGCCACTTTTCTCCCCGATTTACGGTACCTATCATGGAATCAAGACCGAAGGGTTGCGATATCCATAGTGCCCTAATCCTGTCCCGTCTGCTAACGTTAAATCAAAACTCAGATCGAGAGAGACAAACAGATAGACAGACAGATGGGTGGGCGGGTGGAAGGATGGATGCAAAGATAGATAGCAGAGCAAAGTAAAATGTGATATTTTATGATGTTTTAAATGTATCTCGAACCTGATAAAAGCCTTTTAACGGCAACGTGCATTTGTCGTTCGCGACTATGATATTGTGAAACCAACATGTTCTGCCTCTTGTATAATTTGATATCCCTTTGTAGTATTTTTGTAGCTTCAGATCTCTAATTTTACCCTTCTCGGGTGTGTCTCTCCCTCCCAGAGCTGCCATCATCTTGTTGTGCCCGTCTAACCCGTCTGTGTTGCAGTTTTTTATAATAGTGTCCATAGCTGATGAAGTCTTGATAGCCGCAACGTTAATTTGTCGTTTATTATTACGATAATGTCGAAGTCTAACGTCCATGGGATCGACTTTTTTGCTGGATTTAATCACACTTTGCTCGGTCTGTTTCCGCAGAACGGCTGGCCCCTTAGCGTTGCGAGATCGTTTAACAAAGCACAAACACCAAAGCTCCGGCGACGACCCACAGGGATCGCCGTAAAATTGCCGAAAGGAACCGAATGACGCAGCAGTGAAACAAACCTTTAGAACTTTGTGTTTGTGATACTGTCAAACTGGTTGGATATGGTGCTCTTTTGGTTTAATATCTCTTCGTGGTGTTCCCACGGGAAAGGCATTGGGTCTCTTCACCCCCCCCCCTCTCTCTCTCTCTCTCTCTCTCTCTCTCTCTCTCTCCTCTCTCTCTCTCCCCTCTCTCTCTCCCTCTCTCTCACCCTCTCTCTCTCTCTCTCTCTTTCTCTCTCTTTTCCCACTCACCCATATCTAGAATCAGGCCCCGACACCCACATGAGCAGTACATCTGAGGAGACAGCGAAACGTGCATGACTAATCTGCTTATCCTTTAATTTTATATCTCTTCGTGGCATTCTAACAGAGAAGGCAGTGGGTCTATTCTTCTCCACCCACTCACCCATCCCCAGAATCGGGCCCCAAACCCCACATGAGGAATACATCTGAGGAGATACAGCGAAACGTCTCTGACTTATCAGCTTCTCCTTTGATTTCATATCTCTCCATGGTATCCCCTCCACAGGTTAAGGCAGAGGACGATGCCTATGTGCAGTCTAAGAGCAGCCAGGGTAACGGTCGGACACAAGTTGAAGCTGTTGCTGATGCTGCTGATGCTGCTGCTGGTTGCTGAAGGTCAGGCCCAGGACATCCCTCACCGTCTGAACAGCCTCGTCCGAGAGAACGAGTTGCACAGTTTCGAGAACTCTCATATCATTGTCAAGGAGAGGGAACGCGACGTCTATCTGTACAAGGATATTGCCAGAAAGTGAGTGTGTTTTGGTTACCTGTACTGGGTTGTTGTTGTTGTTGTTGTTTTCTCACCCTGTCTTGTCTTTGTCTTCGCTTGTATCAGCTTGTCTTGTCTTGATTTTGTTTTCGCCTGTCTCATCTTGTCTTGTTTCTATTAAAATGTCACAAAATCTAGTTTGAGAATGGAGGCAGAGGCAGTCACTGCTGCCTTCCGCGGTCTTGGGAATTAGCTGTACACACATGCCGTGATTGTAACTGACTCATCAAGGATGTTGAGAACGGTGGCGACAGGCATACTCTGTGCAGAGTGGCAAATATCACTTCAGAGATCCCCGGTAGTTAGCATCCTTTGGGTATTTCCTTCAGGTAATGCCAGTGTTGTGGAAAGCGAGCAGACAGATACACCGACCGGCTCTGCATCACTTGGTGGTGAATGATGTATGACACGCTGGATGTTGTGAGGGTCTTTTGGAAACGAGTGAACAGTGCAGAGGCACAAACAGATCTTTACGGTCTGGGACAAATAGCTGTGTGATGAGTTACAGGGGATTTGGCCGACGCTCACCACTCAAGGGAAAGGCGAGACGGATATACACGGAGACGGTTACTGGGGGATGGAGCGCTTATGGGAGTGTGTCGAGTGCTGTGATGTGGAGTTTTGATGCAACAATCAACATTCAACCTTGTCTTGTTTGTCCTGTCTGTTTTGTTCTGTTGCCTCACATTGTCTTGTTTGTCCTGTCTGTTTTGTTCTGTTGCCTCACATTGTCTTGGGATTGTTTGTCTTTGTCTTCTCCTGCTTCGTCGTGTCTTGTTTTGTCTGTGTTTGTCTTCTCTTGTCTCGCCGTGTCTCATTTGTCTCGTGTCTTTGTCTTCTCTTTTCTCACACTGACTCGCCTTGGCGTTGTGGTCTATTGTCTCCCCGCGTTTGTGTTTTTGTTGTGTTCTCCTTTCTTACCTTGTGTTGTTTGTCTTGTCATTGTGTTCTCTTGTCTCAACCTAACTTGTCTTGTTTGTTTCATTTTTGTGTCTTCGCCTGTCTTATCTTGTCTTATCTTGTGCATGTGTCTTGTCCTTGCCTTCGTGTTATCTCAACTTGTTCTGTCTTGTCTTGTATAGTACTCACTGGCCTCTCTGTCTTGTCTTGTTTTGTTTTTTGCATGTCTCAACTTGTCTTGTCTGTTTGTTCTCTTGTCTCACCTTATCTTGTTTGACTTAATACTCATACATGTTAACTGTTATATGAACAAAACATGAATTACAGATACAATGCATTTGCTGCATAAAAGATTGGTCTGCATGCCCAGTTTGTGGCCCTTTGAAAATAATTTCATTCATTCATTCCTGCATCTCTATCTAACTGCCTGTCTCCCTGTCTATCTATCTGCCTGTCTCCCTGTCTATCTAACTGCTTGTCTCCCTGTCTATCTATCTGCCATGTTTACTTCTTCCTTTCTGTTTCTTTTCTCTACATTTGTAATGTCTCACATCGTCAGGGCAGGAAGAGATTTTTGGAACGGACCCTTCTCTTCGTTTAGAATATAGTACTTTTCAGTATCCCCGATACTTCTGCGGTCCGTCTTCTGCGGGGTCGACCTATGTCTCTGCTACCGCTGTATCTGTTTAACATTGCTCTTTGTGGGGCGCTGTCTGTTTTGCAGTCTTGTTACATGGCCAAACCATTTGCCGATAAAGTTAAATATTGATTGTGCGCTAACTTTCTCCTGATATAATATGATTCCTGAGTCGATGTTTCCTTGTTACACCTAGCATAATCATTTCAGTCGTGACTATTTTTCTTCTGTCTCCTGAAGACGGTGCCCATGTTTGACATTGATATCATATTGTTGGTAAGAATATTGTATTGAACAGTGCTCATTTAGTGTTCATATTCCCAGGCTTACATTGAAAGCTTCTGTTCTTCCAAAATCCCATTTGTCCTTCACTAAGTTGTGGTTTAATGATAGGGCGTAGCCTCTTTTCAATGATCTTACACAATATTTTACCACTGTGACTCAATAGAACTCCTGGATACTTCTTACAGTTTCTCTTGTTGCCTTTATCCTTCCAGACGGGTACCATTATTGGGTTACTCCATTCCTGTTGTGTCTCCTTTGTGTGATCCAGACCAGGTTGAATAGTCTGTGCATCCATGTGACGCCTACCTATTCGGGTGCGTTGAGTAGTTCAGCAGTTATATCGTCGGGGTCTGGTGCTTTATTTGAAGGTGCATTTTTTTAAACGGTTTTTCTCATTTCTGTCAATGTTTAGCCTGGTTCTACATTTTCACTTACGTAATTGTTGTTATCCTGTGTTGTGGGTTAATAGTAAGTTGAATGGAATCTTTAAATATTGACGCCATTTATCTTGTACTGTTTGTGGTTTGTTTGCGACGTCCGTGGTTTAGGCCTTGCGAGTTCGACTCGTAATTCCAACTTACCGCGATCGAAACCCACTGCTGGCTGCGTGGATTTTTCTCATGGTATGGGGCACACAGGTCGACCCAGCCTAAAATGGGTACCAGGATGTATGTCCTGGGGAAGTAAAGACTGCCGGCGTAATGCTGACCACATTTACCTAGTGCCTAGCTGTCTTTAAAAATATGGGGTTCTCACGCCTAAAGACGTGAAAAGGAATCTTTACTATTATTTTTTGTGATTTGTTTAATGCAACTCCTGTTTCGCCAGTTATAATTTATGCTATGTCACATTGTTCGTTTCTCCCTCTCATAACTTTAACTTCGTTGTAGAAAATTTTTGTGGCCATTTCTGTATTATTTCTGACAACGTGTCCTTCTTACAGGTCTCATCATCAGGTAGCAGATCCTTTGCATTCGTCAGCTCTCCTGCTTCGAGTACTTGTATATTCAAGGAGTCACTTATATCTTGTGCCCACTTTTGTGTTGATCCCTCCCTGCCCCTCCTTCCTGGTACCACGCCTTATGCTATTTTTTTTTTAATCTGCCATAGCATTTGATGTGACCAAAATATTTCAGCTTCTGAGACGAAGTGCTGTTTATTATCCAGTCTCATCCTTGATTTTCAGATCTTTTAAAATGTCAGTATTTCTTCTCTTCTTTGTACATGGTTAACTGAGAAACTTTCTGTAGCATGTGTGCTCAAAAGCCCCTATTTTCATTCTTAAGGACTGTCTTACTGCTCTGTATTCTTCAAAATCATCTTGATTTTTTTACTTTTCGCTCATATCTGATATCTAAATATCTACTTTTTCACTGTTGTTTTAAACTTCTTCGTTCCTAAACGGTGTTATTAATGGTCTTGCGCTTCTATTCTTAACCATTCCGTTTGTGTCGCTTGTTGCTTTTTAAAATTAATTTGTTTAAATAGTTCCTTCTCTACTGATTTGGTTTCTTTAATTAGCCTGATATAATCTTCAGTATTTTTCTTTAGAGGTCTGCTTCTTGTGTGGATATAATCTTCAGTATTTTTCTTTAGAGGTCTGCTTTTTGTGTAGATATAATCTTCAGTATTTTTCTTTAGAGGTCTGCTTCTTGTGTGGATATAATCTTCAGTATTTTTCTTTAGAGGTCTGCTTCTTGTGTGGATATAATCTTCAGTATTTTTCTTTAGAGGTCTGCTTCTTGTGTGGATATAATCTTCAGTATTTTTCTTTAGAGGTCTGCTTCTTGTGTGGATATAATCTTCAGTATTTTCTTTAGAGGTCTGCTTCTTGTGTGGATATAATCTTCAGTATTTTTCTTTAGAGGTCTGCTTCTTGTGTGGATATAATCTTCAGTATTTTTCTTTAGGGGTCTGCTTCTTGTGTGGATATAATCTTCAGTATTTTTCTTTAGAGGTCTGCTTCTTGTGTGGATATAATCTTCAGTATTTTTCTTTAGAGGTCTGCTTCTTGTGTGGATATAATCTTCAGTATTTTTCTTTAGAGGTCTGCTTCTTGTGTGGATATAATCTTCAGTATTTTTCTTTAGAGGTTTGCTTCTTGTGTGTTAGCATTTTTTTAGGCTTACTTAATTAACTCTGGAATTACCTACATAACCACACCCCCACCTAGCACATACCTAACCACCTTCTTAGGCACACACATACACTTAACTCTCACACACATACGCTCAACTCTCACACACATACACTTAACTCTCACACACATACACTTAACTCTCACACACATACACTTAACTCTCACACACATACACTTAACTCTCACACACATACGCTCAACTCTCACACACATACACTTAACTCTCACACACATACACTTAACTCTCACACACATACACTTAACTCTCACACACATACACTTAACTCTCACACACATAAACATATACCTACACTCACACGCATCAAACACTCTCTCGTACACACATACAAACATTCTCCCACACACATGCACACACGCCCTTCCACACGCAGCCAGACACACACAGACGTACACGCGAATATTTATATATACCACAGTTTCACACCTTGCAATACAACTGTAGCAACTAGGTACACAAAAGGCCTGTTGACAATCACGTGTAAGGTTTTGACAGACGTGATGGGATTGCCATGATCTGTTTGGGTAAGCGTCGGTAGCAACAGTAGCAGATGTTTCCACTGTCAAGGCTGTGCTGTAGCAGAGAGACCTGACCCCTCCTGTGATCCTGACCCTTAGAACTGCCAATCATTATGCACAAACATGCAGACAGACAGACAGACAGGTAGGTAGGTAGGTAGGTAGGTAGGTAGGTAGGTAGGTAGGTAGGTAGGTAGGTAGGTAGGTAGGTAGAGAGAGAGACAGACAGACAGACAGACAGACAGACAGACAGACAGACAGACAGACAGACAGACAGACAGACAGACAGACAGACAGACAGACAGACAGACAGACAGACAGACAGACAGACAGACAGACAGACAGACAGACAGACAGACAGACAGACAGACAGACAGACAGACAGACAGACAGACAGACAGACAGACAGACAGACAGACAGACAGACAGACAGACAGACAGACAGACAGACAGACAGACAGACAGACAGACAGACAGACAGACAGACAGACAGACAGATAGATAGATAGATAGATAGATAGATAGATAGATAGATAGATAGATAGATAGATAGATAGATAGATAGATAGATAGATAGATAGATAGATAGATAGATAGATAGATAGATAGATAGATAGATAGATAGATAGATAGATAGATAGATAGATAGAACAAACTTTATTTTTAAAGCTTAAGAACTGGGCACGCAGGCCCGTCTAACATTCTGCCATTCAAGGTTTCCCTCCGTTCTTACATCATTTGATTCATTGCTAGCACCGAAATGTGTATATTTCTAACTACAGTGAACCATAGTTTTTTTTTTTAAAAGTAACAACAAAAAGTAAAGGACCCTTTTCCAAGCCTCCAGGCGTATTAGGTATATAGGGCTAGTCCTGTATTGTATAGACCAAACGGCACTTTGTGGGTAATGTCAGCATCACGCTGGACGCCTTTACTTCCTAGGATTGTACCTGGTACCCTCTCAAAGCTGGGTCGTCCTGGGAGCCAAGGTCATTTTTGAAGAGAAAAAAAGTCTGACCTCTATCAAGACCCGAACCCACGACCTTCCGATCAGCATGCGAGCATCTAGCGACAAGACCACAGCGGGTCCCTTAAACCGTAGTAGTTTTAATAAGGTTGGTTGCGTATCCTTTACAGGACGTTGCAGAACCAACCTCAGCAGCCCCTGGCTGTTGTGGGGTTTCTCTAGGAAAATTTACGTCCAGTAGTTTGCCATTGCCTTCTGGACGGTCGGCCCCCTGATACCACTTTCGAAACCAACGCAAGGCGCATGGCCCGCAGTTGGGATCGAACCCAGCATCCCGGCATTACGAAGCGTTCGCATCGACTTAGCCACAGAGCCGAATAAATTTAGGGAAAATGTCGGCTATTTCTAAAATATTGTGTATCTGTTACGTAGGGATATAAACTGTGCTCAGTTAATGTACGAACAGTTTCCGATTTTATGTATAGGGACTAGTGGTATTTTTGATTTGTTGTGGAAAATAGTTCCACAATTGAGCAACGAAATACGCCAAACTTACCTTCCATTATATTTAAACAACGGCCGTAAGTAACGTGGAGCCTTTTGGGATAATATTTTGTGAATAAATTTCGCCTTTTTAAAAAGTAGACGTTCACGAAGCGGTAGTAGCATAAGACCTTAATCTATTTCAGAACTCTCTGTCCCATGTTTTTTACTTATTTAAGCGAATGGCGCGCTTTTGAAGTGACGTGAGCCGCTTGACAACAGAATTGGAACATATTGTAGAGCAGTAGTCTATATATGTCTGTATGTGAGAAATAAAGAATATCTTTCTTGTGCTTTCATCAAAAAAGTTTTCAATTTTGCAAGTTTTTATAAACTTTTTTTTAGCTATTTCACAAGTCCTTGCTCATGAGAGTTAAAGGTTAGATTTGCGTCAATGACCATCCTAGTGCGTTGTGCCAAGTTGCACTTCTCACTTGAGTCTGTCCAATGGAAGCGCTCTCTGTGAATTTAAATTAGATAGTTTTTGTCTGGTCGGTATTAGCATATATTTTGTTTTATTAATGTTTAATTACATACTGTTGGCACTGCTCCATTTGAATGCATTTAATTGAGAGAGATGTGGCGAGAGATGTGGAGAGAAAAATTGAGAGATTTGGCATGAGAAGGAGATAGAAAGAGATGGTAAGAAAGATGGGAAGAGATGGAGAAAGATAGAGATTGAGAGATAGATGAAGAAAGAGACAGAGAGAGAGAGAGATGTAGAAAGAGATGGAGAGATAAATAGGAAGAAAAAGGTGGAGCGGGATTTAGATAGAGGTGTAAAGAAACAGATGGGGAGAGATGGAGAGAGAAGGAGAGAAAGATAGAGATGGAGAGAGAGAGAGATGGAGAGAGAGAAAGGCGGAGAGAGGGACAGAGACAGATGGAAGGAGAAGACAGAAATAGAGAGAGGGAAAGAGATTTAGAGAGAGAGATGAGAGATTTAGAGAGTGATGGAGAGAGATTGAAAAAAGATGGAGAGAGAGATGTAGAGAAAGTGAGACAGAGATAAGAAGCAGGCAGTCATTTCATGCGGCTTTCAATGCACTAACTACAAGATAATCTAGCCAATGTGTGCTTTGTTCACAGTTTCACTTTCACCATCGCCAAGAACTGCAGCATCATCGTCGCCGTCACCCCGTGCGCCTCAGAGATCTACTGGTCGCTGCACATGCTGACCCAAGCTCCCTCAGGTACTCCACCATTCTTATTTCTTCTTCTTCTTCTTTTTCTTTTTCTTCTTCTTCTTCTTCTTCTTCTTCTTCTTCTTCTTCTTCTTCTTTTTCTTTTTCTTTTTCTTTTCTTCTTCTTTTTCTTCTTCTTCTTCTTTTTCTGTTTCTTCTTCTTCTTTTTCTTTTTCTTCTTTTCTTTTTCTTTTTCTTTTTCTTCTTTTTCTTTTTCTTCTTCTTCTTCTTCTTCTTCTTCTTCTTCTTCTTCTTTCTTCTTCTTCTTCTTCTTCTTCTTCTTCTTCTTCTTCTTCTCTTCTTCTTCTTCTTTCTTTCTTCTTCTTCTTCTTTTCTTTTTCTTCTTCTTCTTCAAATTCTTCTGCTGCTTCTTCTTCTGTAGCTGCTGCTACTACTACTACTACTGCTACTATAACAACTACTGCTGCTGCTGCTGCTAGTACTACTTCAACTGCTCTCTCTCTACTCCTGCTGCTACTGTTACTACCACTACTACTTCTACGATGATGACATCCTATTACTAGTACTGTTACGCTATTCCAACCTGTAGCGACGAGTCATTACAACTGATAATACGATTGCAGAATTCAGTTAAAACGTATTGGGCATATAGGGCTAAGCCTTTGTTTTGAAGACTTATCGGCACTCGGTTGGGTGATCCAAGCTCTTTCCCTTCGCCTGCGCAAGTTACACTAGTATCGCTGTGATCAGACAGACCCCGTCACTGCGCCTAGTCGCCTGGTTACCATCACCATGGCATCATTATCTTCTTCCTAATCATTATCAAAACCCCTTTTGCGAACCACCTCGATAAGAAACAGCTAAGAATCTGAGTGAAACCAGCTATCACTAAACACAATGTACTATCTCTGTGTAACACAGGCGTTACACATTGCACTGCCTACTGACAACTTACATTATAAGACAGTTCGGTTAGTTCGAAGTTAGTCTCCCCAGATAGAGTAGGTCACTTTTCATTCACAAGTTTGTTGGGCTGGTCGACTTTCCTGAAGATTACGGGTGTGTCCCGCTCTGTTCTTTGGTTTCTCTAATGTCTTTCATTTACGTTTCCATTCCGAGAAACTGAATCCTTGTGACATAGGTTGCAGCACTCTCTAGGGTGGTTGTGTTAGACCCAGTTTCTCCATATTTTTGGAGTTTTTAAAGCGCTGGTGTGCTGAAATATACAACACGCGATATCAACGACATTGCGGAACACCTTCGTAACATTGTGCGTAGGTCACACGGCTCAGGAACTACCAATCAGCAGCGAGCTAGTGTGTATATGGGCGGGGTCTGGGGAGACTAACGTCGAACTAACCGGCAGTTCAAACTAACATATTATCACAAACTAACCGTCGTTATCTTAAATCAATTACGGGAGAACCTAACGGTCAAAACACAACACCTCTTGTCCAAATCCGGGTCTCTGGTCAACTCTCCTTAAAAAACTTACTCCTTCTGTTTTGTCCAGTCCGCTGCTCACTTTGATAATAGCCACACAACCCCTTATTACACGACCAGGAAGAAGAAAGATGCAAGGAGTCGTTGATACCTTGAGACTCCACATCATCACACACACCGGGTAACCGAGCGTACCCTGGCTCGGAAACCGATTATCTGCTTCTTCTTCTTCTTCTGCGTTCGATATCAGTCATGCTAAACATTGAGTCCCGTCTGGGTCACAAATAGGATTGTGCGTTTAAGGTCGCCACTGGTCCCCCATAGCTTCTCTTGCAATGTGGCTCCTTTGGGCCAGATCCACAGTCTTTGCTGGGAGAGGTTAGGGCAGTACTGTAGTATGTGCTCAGGGGTCTGTCTTTCTGCTCCACAATCACAGGCAGCAGATTCTTTTATGCCTATCCTGTACAAGTGTGCCCGAAGACCACAGTGTCCAGTCCGAAGTCTAAAAATTGATGTTTGTTCTTTCCTGTTGAGGATTATCTGCTAACGTGCGACACCTAGCGGCACAAAGCGGAAAATGGACCCAAAAAAACAAAAATATTTAAACGTGTTTTTGTTTATATGTGTTTTCTTTCTTTTACTACTTTTCTGTCTGGTTACTGAAGCATTTATGATTTTGATGTTTAATCTTTACTACACTTATACTGCATCTTTGCAGATCTGAGCTGGATTGGTCAGCAGCACCATAGTCTGTCAAGGAATCAACAGCTGGCGCAGTTTGCGGGATCCTCCAGACAGGTGGTTCACACCAGCGTTGGCAGGGGATCTTACGTGATCACAGTAACTTCCCTGCAATCAGATTCTCACGTGAAGATTTTTGTTTCTGCCAACCCGGAGATCGGAGGTTCCATCTATCCCAGCGTTCCTCTAAACGGTCATGTGAGTGTCTTGACCAGCAGACGAAAGCTCGTTCTGGACTGGCCTTCAGCGGCAGCACAGAATCGGTTTCGGAAGTCTGTTGAATATTGTGTGGCCATCAGCCGAATCAAAAACTTCCACAGTTATTGCGGAGCTTTGGCGTACGTCCATGGGGATAAAAAGCCGGTGTTTGTTGACTGGGGCTTTACAAATGAGAAAGACAAAATAAAAGAGCTTCGTAATATGGCAAAGCCAATACAGCCAGCTCCGAAAAGGCTGATATTCCATAAGTGTGTTGGGAATAGAACCTCCTTCACGTTCAACAAAGCAGCCCATGGAAAGACATACTACACAGATGTGTTTATTGTTGACAAGACAACACAGCTGTCTTCTGCTTACACAGGAGCTGTAGTCAAAATTAAATACAGAAAAAGGTCTCCAAAAACACAAATGAAAGTTGGCGAGACCAAAACAATTAACCTTAAAAGGAAAAACACAATAGAAGTTACAATCAATACCACATTGGCACTTCTAGCTTTTGAGGTAATTCCCTGCGCTGGGAGAGTCCCTGTTGTAATTTATTATAATGGCAAGAAAAACCAAACAAAGACTCTTGTTCGCCGGTGGAGAAGGTTTTCTATCAAGAAAGCATCGCCAGGCACATACCTCTTGACATTCCCTGGAAAGACAAAGAAGAAGACATTTGTGACAGTTTTCGTCACGTCTAGGGCTAGTAGATCTAAAATTGTCCTGCCCGAGAAAAGAAAGATCCGCGTCGCTCGTAGGTTGACCACTTGTTCCAATGTGACTTTGACGTGGATGACCAGTTCAGTCAAGCAGAACTACTGCTTGTACAAGAAAAAACTGAAAACAGATGGCCAAGACTCCAAAAGAAGACGATGTCTCAGCCCCGATGAGCGGCTTCATGACAAGCCAGTGACTTGCTTTTCGCATACTGCTACAGATAACGTCAGGCGATCAGTTACTTATAATGTGACGGGATTACAGCCCAACACACTGTACAGATTTGATGTCTATGTTAAACGTGGGCGTTCGGCTTCAGTATCTTATAGAAACGTCCGAGTAAAAACATTACCTCAATGTGTCAGCTGAGCTGTGACATTGTCACCAAATATAAACCCCAAAAAATACTACTATAAAGTATTTACACGCCAATGAAGGCGGAAGTGAATGTGACAGTCCTTCTGTGTGTATTTTATATAAAAATTATCAAAATCAGTGGTGTATGCATTTTTTTGAACAGCTGTGGCTACCAGAACAATGTAGCCATTGTTATCATGGTTGTCATTTTAGTGCAATATCTTCGTATATTCGCCTCGATGTTGTGTTCATTCTGCGACTTCTGTGTAGCAGAAAAGTATCATATAAAACTGACCGTACATCGTTCATGCGTTTTCGACAATCAGTTGAGATTAATTAACTGTAAATCGACATTTTAATCCATATTTATGTTCAGCCTCGCTGATGTTACCATATTAATTGCTTTTTATTTAAAGTGAGGCAGGTTGGTTATGGGTAACTGCTCGTGCAATATTCTGTGGTTTCTTTTATGAGGTCGTAACTATGGCAGACTTATCTAAGATCCACCTGGGGAAAAGCCATGCTCGCTATACTGAAGACGTGCAGTTGTTTTTTGTGGCTATCTTGCCTTTTTGTAGATCAATATTGCTCTTACGTATGTTCGTTCATGAGGCGTCAGCGCATGTCTCTGGCATTTAACATAATGTTGTAATTTTGGTCATGTTGTATTTATTTTTTATGGTATTTATTGTATTGTTGTATTTCTGGTCATTTTAGCTGATAATTGATAATTTATTCAAAAATGTTATTTGTCAACAAAGCTTCATGTGTTACGCAAAGCAGTGTGTTGCCTTGAGTGATGAATGTCATATTCCATATGTTTGTATAATCTATTCCATTCAGTTGCCTGAAAACAAATGTAGCTGACTTTATTACAGAATTACGCAACCCTTCCAGTATAGTATAGGTCATAAAAGTAATGTAATAATTCCCACTAAACATCCAAAAGATTTGAAAAGCATTTTTTCTTCAAAATAAATAAGGGGTTGGAGGTCGGGCAAAAAATATAGAAGTGAAACATTTTGGTCACTTTAACAAATACGATATTTTTGCAAGTCATCAGTCAACCAGCGGTCTCTTCACAGAACGTCGCTCTCAACACAGCACGCCTGAAAGTCTCTCTTTCTCTAGCCAGTTCTCCAGCCCTGTGTGCTTTGAAGACCAATTCATCTTGAGCTACCTCTACCACCTCCGTGGAGGTCTGCCTCTGCCTCTTTTTTAAGAAACTGCACACTCCATACTATGTTGCTTGACTTGTGCATAATATCTCATTTTTCAGAAGAGAATTCTGTTAACGAGCCAGTTCTCACTTTGGTTATACAGCATGTCGACGTTTTTTTTTTTTTTTTCTTGATCCTCGATACCAGAATTTTTCTGTAGCATTTCAGTTCACAAAGATTGCGCGATAGTCCCAGACTCACTCACATCCATCAGTTGCCACCGGAAAGTTGCTAGGTCTCTAAATTTTTACTCTGATTTGCTTGCAAATGCTATTTAAAACCACACTAGGGGGAGGGGGGGAGTTAAAAGCAGACCAGCAAGAGATATACAGATATAATTATCATCATGTAGCAGGTCCTTTGCAGAACGTCGCTCTCATCACAGTCTGCCTGAAAGAAACCAGGTCTCTCGCCAGTTCTCCCGCCTCGTGCAATTTCACATTCAAGGAGTCACCTATATCCTGTGCCCATCTTCGTGTCGGTCGGCCCCTGCCCCTCCTTCCTGGTACCATGCCTTCTGCTATAATTTTTTCCAATCCGTCGTGGCGCTTGATATGACCAAAATATTTCAGCATTCGAGAAAGGATGCTGTTTATTAGCCAATCTTTCTTGATGTTCAGATCTTTTAAGATGTCAATATTTCTCATTTTCTTTGTCCAAGATACTCTGATAATCTTTCTTTAGCATTTCAGCTCAAAAGCCCCTATTCTCTTTCTTAAGAACTGAGAGACAGTCCACGACTCACATCCGTATTTAGCCACAGGGAAGATGCATGCTCTCAAAATGCTAATTTGGATCTCCTTGCTGGTGCTTAACCATAGACTTTTAAGGCTGTTCAATAAATCGCGTTTGTGATCTGCCTGGCCTGGGGGCCTCACCATCAGATCTTTGAGTTTCATTTTTGGCTTCCATGATGAGTTCCTTGGGATTATAATGTGGTAGTTTCCCGTTGCTTTCCACATCCACGTGGCTTTAGACCATGTCCTCAGCCTTCAGCAACCTTTTCGATTGCTAGGGCAAGTGAGTGCCCTGCTCTGTGATGCTCCTGCTAACAGCAGAGGGCACCCCAGAGGTGTCCACTTATCCTGGCGGATACTCGTTCCCCATAGCTGCGTTGGCCACACCGTAGTGTGTTTACCGTGCTCTACCGCGTGGAGGTGCAGTTGGGGTTTTCCATTTACTGAGTCTTGAGAAATACAGATATACAACTGGGAAAATAAAATCAACGGCAGTCTGTCAGAGTGTCCAGCCTTGGTGAGAGACAAAAGGTGTTGGAGATCCATTTCACCCAA